CATTTAAATTATTTTAAAATAAACACTCTCTCGTCAGCAGCCATCACAGAATAACCAGCTACTCAAGGTACTGTAATTCAGCCCCTTTAAAATTGGGGTTGTTATGTATATGAAATAGTATGAATATACAGTTAACGGTTATTTAGTTGGAAAATTCTACAAATGGTTGTGTATTTCTCAAGTTATGCTCTTTCCTCCTCTAATTATCAAAGTAAAACGTTTGGATATATCTCCTCAAATTTTTGTCCCCAAAAGTCTACTCTGTCTTCAGAGAAAACTGGCCAACTTTCCAGCATTCCAAGGACTTCAGTCATAGTCCAATTATCAAAAATGAAATCCTACCTGGTCTCATTAACATGATAACCAAGGCTAGCAAAACAAGTACATATGTACTGATGGGACCACATTCAATTCAGATCATACCAACTGTTGACCACAGAATATTATGTACCAGCACTACAAAATTTATTAAAAGTAGTGAAAGTATAAAACTACAGAAACTGTAGAAACATTCACAAGTATGTGTGAATGTAAATTTGTATGTGTGGGATGTAAATTTAATTCCTCTTGAAGACGACTAGATTTCCAGTGATTGTGTTCTCAACAAATACAGGACTATACGTTATGTATTTGTTAAAGAGGTTATTAACAGATTAAGGCCTGAAGGCAAGTCAAAAACAACATAGCGGTTCACGAAACAATGGGGGAAATTAATTAACAAGAAAATATAAAGGATTGTTGGGAGAAGAGATTTCAGGTAAACAAATGAGAATAGCTTAGCGTATAAAAAGTAAGATGATTAAAAAAAACCCCGCATGGAAAGAATAGCCAAATATAGGTAAGATGAAAAAAATAAGCAGAGAGAGTCAGTAATTTAAATAGATGTGAGATTACACATAATCAGAGACTTGCTGTTGAGAGACAGCCAATTACCAGTGCAATTAAAAGAGCAGTGATCATGTTGGAATGCAGAAAAAGAAAGATGACAAAAACGTCTCTATTTTGCTAGCAGTAACACCAAACACACAAAAGTTACAGGAATAAAGATGAAAAACAACAGGTGCTAGATAAAGGTTTCAACCCCACATATAAGTAGGCAAGCACATTTTGAGAATACTGCAAAGAGAAAGTGAAAAAAAAAAACATACTATAAATGGGAGAGCGATATCAGAATTGTAAGCCTTTTTGGTGGAAAGGGTTTGTGAGAAGACCTGAAGCAGGGAGTCAAAGGAAGAAAATAAATTATTTTTGGAAGTAAGCTCAGGAAGGTGACATCCAAACCAAAAAAAAAAAAAAAAAGATACAAGGCTAGATCACATCAGATAAGAAAATGATACAGAGACATGAAACAAGTGTAGCAGACATGACTGAAACACTAGGTAAAAAATGAGGGCACAGAAAGAAGAAGAGACTGAGAAAATAAGATTGGGTAGTCTTTTCTTTCCTTTTACTTTTGAAGATTTGTTTAAGAATTACGACAGCACAATATTATGAAAGTACAGAGGAAAAATCTGAGGGCTGTATTAATCAGTATGACTTCAGAAACGCCTCTTTCATTTTGCTAAGCTGTGACCATTAGGATGGTTTCAGCAAAACGGAGAAAGAGAAAACAGCCTGGAACTGTACAGGTAAGCAACCTATCAGCGCTCAAGTCAAAGAGAAGGCATTAGAAAGGATAATAAAAATTTCACACAAACACCCAAAGACAGGCAAATGGCCTGCTTCAGAGCAAAATTTAACAAAGTTATTAGAAGAAAAGCACATAAAGAAGGAGGAAGCAGAACATGACTGAAAGTGAGAAGGGATGAAGGACAGGTCTGCAGATGAAAGGTAGATAATGGGCATTTCAGTATCATGAAAGTAAAGACGCAGGAAGACTAAGTAAAAGGTCACCATAAAAAAATCTTCCAGTTGCTAATGTTATACAAGTAATAGCACAAAACAATCAATAAAATGTCTTTTTTATTTATAGCTATTACTTTAACTAGAATAAAACAAATAAGCCAGACTAAATGAAGCATTTATAACATGCTGTCCTCCAATACTCTCAGTTAACAGACACTGAGCTACAATATTCCTCTTCAGACTGAGAACTGTATGTCTAGTACTTTAACACACAGAAGAAGACATATTTGAGACTAGAATTAATAATCTTTTGAAGCATCCCTATCAAGTTTCATTTCTGAGAACTTTCACTAAGCATTTCAATATACAATACCCCAAATATGGCACTTCCTCAATTTAAACTTAAAAAAAATACTTTTGTTGTTCCTCTCCTAATGTTTAAGACAGTTTTGAACAGAGCTGAGAGAGATGTCAAATATTTGTATTACTCATCTCCCTCTCCTTGCAGAGGCATGCCTACTGCCTCTTAGTTTCACTTCTGCTGATAATGCTTTTATATACCCTTCTGCAAAAACCTGACTGAGCTGCACTACAGGCAGCATCTGAAACAGGAAGCACAGCTGACCATCAACAATACAGCAAGACTTACAATGCAGAAAGCGCTATGAAAATGCATTAGCCAAACCCATTATTTATTTCTTAACTGAAATGCCCTCCAATATAGACCTTTGGGGGACTCCTTCCCCCAGCAAACTAATTCCCCCCCCCCCCAAAAGGGAAAGTAAGGGAAAGGCATATAATTCATTTTTCTAAAGCTTCTGAGGATGCTATAATTATAAAACAAAAACAAAAGAGTTAAAATCCAGCCTTCTTGGAAATCTGCTGGAAATCATAATCAACATTTTTTGATACCATTATTGTAGCCATAAGTAGTAAGGCAGGCAATTCAAGCTCCCAAAAACCTGAGGATGGACAGATCTCTCTCCAAGCTTTTTTGGTCCAGCTATGTAGAGACTGAAATACGAATTAAAAGAACTAACTAAAAAAGATTTCCATTTAATTTTAGTAGAGTTAGGATACCATTAAAATAAGAACAAAGGTTATGAATAATTCCATGTAAAATAAGATATTCCTCCTTTTCAAAAAGGAAAAAGAAGTGCAAGACTAAATACATACTATTGACTGCAGAATTATCACAAGAACAAAGTATTCTCCTAAAGCTGGGAGCAATGAACTGGTCAAGAAAAGACAGTTTGAGCCAGCTGTGGAACGCCTGAGGAAGGGGAAGCTGTAACACTGCTGAATTCCAGAGGCATACCCAATACCTTCAAAGCTTTTGATTGGAAAAACAAGCAGCCATATGCATGACAGTACACAGCAAAACACGGTTTTCAACTGTTATGTAAATAAATACATAAAGATTATACTCATACAAGAATATTTCATATGTAACAGTTACCTGAGCTAAGAACAAAATCCAGACAGGACGTACTGTCGGATACAGGGGCAGAGGGAGGATACTGCCACTTCTACACTGGCTGCAAAACTACTTATGAAAGAGCAATGCACCACATATAAGGTTTTTTCTCCCCACGCTCACATTTCCTGATCAGTTTGCTGCCTGCAAACATGCTCTCACTGAGTAGTCATCTACCAGTAGCATCAGCTGGAGGACAGCATAAGCTGAATCAAAGCCAGATGGAAAGAGGAAGACAGTGATCCTGAATCCTAACCATTTTTTACTGTAGGTTAGACTAAGCATGTAACAAGTTTCTGAACTTGAGCTCAACTTTAGCCAAGCCTGCAAAGAACAGAGAGGAAAAACAAAAACAAATGTGATTATATTTGTTTCATCCTTCTTCAAGACAGAAGACAGGAAATATGCAGATGAAAAGAGAGAGTTGATACAGAAATAAAAAGCAGCACCTAAAATGCTGTAAAAAAGTGCATCTATAATGAATGGTTTAAAGAAAAAAAAAAAGTTGAGCCACATAACTTATCTCTTAACAAAGGAACTAACATGCTGAACCACATTTTGGTAGCCCAAAAAGTCATAACGAAATCAGTTTGCTTGCTGATTAATTTGTAAAAATATGAAATAAAGATGCAAGATGTTGCGAGAAGAGGGAAAAATACACATAAGCATAGGCAGCTGAAAACTGATATGTTCACCTTCATTTTCTCTCAAGCCATTAAGTGAAAAAGAACCAAAGAAAACTAATCAATCATAAATACCATTCCAAAAATGAAAGACGAGGAGAAAGCAACTTAATAAAAATACTGTAACTTCAACATCTCCCTCCCCTCCCCAACCAGGAAAAGAGCAATTACTTCTTAATTATTTACATGAAGCAATGTTAGCTAATTTCCAGTTTGGTCAGTAGCACCTAACCTATAAAGCATGCTTATCAAGACAGCAAGATGAATGTAGCTTCCTTTTCAAGTAGTCAGAACTTTGCAACAGGTTAACCAAGACACATCTGAAAGACTATGCCAGCAATTTTTTCCCCCTTGGTCAACTGTCTCTAAATAGATAGAAGAGGACTATCATCAGCACAATATCTATAATAAGAGAGCACCTCATGTATTTCTTACATGGAAAAACAATATCAGGAAAGTATTAGCCATTTGGTGGGTTTTTTTTTTTTTTCAGTTAGTACCTAAAAAAATAAAAGGAAAAGAAAAGCCAGTATCACATAAGTCTTTAGGCTTGTAGAGCATTTCTGTAGCCAGAACTGGTCCTCTGATTACAGTTGGCCACACTGTACCAAGAATATTCTTTTACAGCAGTAGCAAGCATAAACCAGTAAAAAACAGAGATATTGGTGACAATCACAGAAAGGGAAAATATATATATATATATATATATATTCTCCATATTGGGAAAACTAAATTTTGTAGGAAGTTTATTACTAGCTCTTCTTTTATTAGATTTCATAAGACAGATTCTAACAGGAGGTTCTACTCCTTTTAAATTAAAAGCTCCCATCTTGGGAGTCAGCAAAATTTCTTTGTGCATAGCTTTGCAAACTTCTAACAAAGGCCTTGTCTTTGTATCAAACTTCTCAGCATATTCCAGTTACATGTTGTTATTGCTACCACAGTTTATTATAAAACAACTACGATGAGCAGAATGTGGTACTGTTACAGCATACCTTCTGGTAAACTATAGAGCACACGAGGTCTTTAACAGCAGAGAGGGACAAGTCCTGAGCTTCAATGGTGACAGTCTCTCGAGTGAGACCAATTTGCAGAAGGAATGAGACCCCATGCATAGAGCCCCTGGAGTTGGTGAGGCTCTGTGTACTGAAACTGCCATTGGAAAGTCGACTGGAGAGCCCCGACTGGGGGCTTGAAGACAAAGTTGGGGTTTGTGGTGCAGCAGCATGACATGTAGGCGGGGAAAACTTCTGTAAGGATGGAGGAGAAGAGTCGTTTGCTGACATCTGACTTGTTTTAAAATGTGGAGATCTGCCTAGTAGTCAAATTCTAACAAAAATATTTTGTCAGTCCTTGGTTTGAAATGAAGAAGAAGAAAAAAAAAAAAGATACTCTAACTTTCCCTTTCTTAGTTCAGTAAAAGGCCACTGACCAGTAAAACATGTTAATTTTCCCTTTCATTCTGTGCAAGCCAAAGAGTAAAATAATTTCAGCTGGAAGTTACTTTAAATTACAGGTTCTCTTTCTACAGTTACAATCAGCTGATAAAAAGCAGATTGCCTTTCCTTTAGCACCACATCCAGACAGTAGAGGCTTACATAAAGGCCTTAGAGAAACACATCAGCATTGCTTTTTCATAATGGTCCTTCATTTCTGTTTAAAAAAAAAAAAAAAAAAAAAAAAAAAAAAAACCTGATCTCATATAGAAACAAATGCTGTTAACTCATGAGAAATATCCTTTCACCTAATGCCACAGACCATATCTTACAGACAGGGTTATCTTCATGTAGATATCCTTCTAGAATTAAAAAAAAAAAAAAAGAAAGAAAGAAAGAAAAAATTGAGTCCAGGTATATGATGAATCTATTCTTCCTCCAGAAATTCTTCTCTGAATTCACAGGACATGGTTAACAGATACTTTCACTGATCTCCAAGTTTTCATCTTTATAAAATATTTTATCTCGTGAAATGTAGGAGCAGAATTTTTGAAGACACAATCACTTTAAATGTAATCTCTAGGTTCACCCAGATAATCTCCAGCATCTTGAAATGTTGTACTCTGCCTGTGGGGGAAAAGATAAAATTATTATTTCACATGAAACGCGTAAAGTTGCATAGCAATATCATAACCACTCCACTTTGAAGCAGCAGAATCATTGATTTCTCGCACTTAAATATGTTGTAAATCAGTAACTTTTCACACTCACATTAATGGCTAATGACTTGTACATAACTGTTCTCCCACTGTACAATATGCAAGACAAATCAGGCCTAACACTTCCCAATATACTACCACATCTTTTAATTAACGGTAATTTAGCAAAGCACTTCAATTGTTAACGGAAAAAAAGGTTAGACCATGGATCTGCTCTTTAGGTATACGCTGAGAAGCTAGGAGGTAGGAAAGGAAATGTATTAAATGCATGGAAGTCTTGACAACACCGTAATGCCAAAACTCAAAAAAACACTATGTAACACGTACTCAGGAAAACATCTTAAGTACAGCATAAACTCTAACTGCAAGAAGATATTTACAGTTTGCAACAGAGCATTGGTTCCTTTGGGGTGGAAGGGAACCATTTAGTGCCCACACGCCTGCTTAAGAAGCAAGTCTGCCACAAACTTTTAAAATTCTGGATTTCTTTGCACTTCATGATCATAGGCTCAAAAACACTTGTTACAAGATGCTGTGCTATCTAAAGCAACATTACAAGCATTTGGAAACAAAAAACAAACACTCCTTCAAGTTTATGCTCTCTATTCCAACTACTCTGGCTTTTTAACGGTGCTGAGCAGGCTTATCTGGACCCAAGTAAAACACCTGTATTAAGGAACAAAGCGAGTCAAACTTGCACTCTAAAACTGTGGCAATGCGTTGATTTTTTTGATCAATTGTTAAGTTTTTGATCAATAGTTTAAATATGCTGAATCCTTTCTAACATTTACCTTTTAGAAATAAATTACATAATCTAATGCTGACCACTCTCTAATCTCACTTACTTCCAAGGAGCTGAGTGAAAATAGGTTGAATAACATTTTGGATAGCATCAGAACTGTAAATCAAGCTTATCTGATTTTACTCTACGTTCCCCATACAACTAATTCCACAGGAAAAAAAAAGTGAATGTAAAAGTAACTCAAATAAACTGAGACTATGCGTAACTACTCATTTTTAGAGGGGCACAGACCAATACAGGATATCAAAAATCAATAAGTTCATGCATTCTTCCTTTTATTATGCACAGAAAGTCTCAGAAAAGTATTACCCAGTCTAAATGAATTAAAAAAAAAAAAGTTTATCACATGCAATATAAACTATTCTTACTAGGAATAAGGTCGATAATTAGTAGATCTATTTAATAGGTTTAGTCTGATATTTGCCAATAACTCAAAAACTTACCTCCACTAAATTTTTAAAAGGTAAATACAGAAACAGAGTTACATGGAGAGCAATACTGCAAGCAGCAGCTCCTGGTTGTGTGATAAAAATTCCTAACAGAGGCTCCAGAAGAGAGAACAATTTGGAACCTACTTAGATTTTCAGTGTAGTAATCTACAAATTATTCTTCGCAAGGACTCAAGTGCTGCTAGACACCTAGCAAAGACATCTGGAAAGACAGCTTCCATCTCAAAGAATATGTCAACCACGATAGAGATGAGGGCCATAAACAACAAAAAATAAGAACAAGAATAGGAGCAATGGTAACACTCGAGCATCTTTTTGGATAAAGCAGCTTTACAATTCAACTTTACGTGGAGCTCGACAATATTCATGTTTTCTACACACTGTTTTTCCTCTCCCTCGCTTTTCACAGATATCAGAGACAGCAAACACCAAACTTCAGGAGGGATCTAAATGAAAAACAGTAATGCTTAACTAACATAGTGGCAAATTAAAAAGTCGCAAGATGTGAAAGAATTAATAGGTCTCAGTAAAACTGAGCAAGTTAAATTTAGACAGTGAAAGCACACTGAAAAAAACTCACCTACACCTCTTTAATTAAAAACGTTAACTATATTCACCAAAAGTGTGATGCATTTACATTTACAAAGCCTTCTCATACCAAGCTTATTTGCATGTAAGCCTTTAATTGAAAGAGTGAATCTGTCTAAGAAAAGAAAATAATAGAAACTGCTCACTTTGTAGTCACAAAGCATAAAACGATTCAGAATATCAATATATAAAAATAAGTGCATACCGAAATTTATATCCGAGCCCATGATTTTATATTAAAAATAAGACGAGACCTCAGAGAAACTGCAAAGACAAGAGAATCCCATCAACCCTCTTCCCCTGCCGCAGAGTTCACACTTCAGCCTGCTCTCGCCTTAGAAGTGCTGACCCTCCCCTTCCTTTCGGGGCTGCTCCCAAACCAGGCAGCTTCTCCAACATCTGGCACTTGATTCGCCCTCGTCCCTCCCTGCTAGACACGATACGGACTTCAAGCCCCGCTCCAAGCGGCTCCTCTCCCTTTCCCTATGCACAAAGCGGGTCGCTTTACCGGTTTTTATCGGGAGGGACTGAGGCCCCCGCCGGGCAGCGGACGGGGTCGGGGCGGGACGCCGGGGCC